AACTGTCAAACTTTCGCTGACCCCCCCGCCCCTATTTAATTAAGTCAACATTTTAAAAACCCCTTCCCCCCCCCCTTTCCCCAATGAATTATAATATCAATAAATTTATAAATACGTTTTACTTTGTGCTCGTGTATTTTTAATAACACAAAATTGTCGGGAAAAAACATTTGATGACATCTTTAGCTTGTTAATCTACAAGTTAAAAAGTTTTAACACTTAAATTTTATAATGCAGAATCAATTAAAAGTTTGTTAAAGACTAAATATCATTGTTTGTGGAAGTGGAAGTATAAATATGATTATTTTCAGTATAGCTGACAATTATAGTATAGTTTCTAGCTGCTATTATTTTCCCATGGAGTAGCCAGGTGTTGCTCTATCGCAACAATGGGCATCAGGGACATCATTTGCCCCCCCCCCCCCCCCCCCCTCTTTTTTTTTCTTTTTTTTTTTTTTTTTTTTTTTTTTCCCCCCCCCCCCCCTTTTCTTTTTGTGTATCATTTTTGTTTTACTTAGTTTACTTGTTTTTAATAATTGTAAAGCGCTTAGAGCTTTAAGGTAAGCGCTATATAAAAAATGCCTAAATAAATAAATAACTAAATATACCCTACCAGTCAACATCATCCTCATATAGCTATTCAGCACTTAAAAACCCCTGAAAATTGTAGGTTACTGGAACCTGTCTATATATTTAGTAATGAACACAGTGATTTGGTTGAGAATGTTAAAAGTTGTAAGCCTATCAGTGTTTCAGTGACAAAGGACATTTGCAGTTAATGTAATTGGATATTTGCAAGAAAATGTGAAACCAATTCTTAATCAGATTTGAGTTGCATTGTAACATTATATATTAACATTTTAAATGTAACTCTAAGTCTGAAGTAAGAAAAAATTAACACAAAAAAACAAAACAAATTAAAAAAAGGGATTAAAGTAGCCTTTTTGAAGATGCTTGTTAATGATGTTTGAAAATCTATGAAATAAATTTTAGTTTTTTTTTTAAAAAGCATGAAAGATATAAACAAAATATTTTGTAAAATAATAATAATTTACGGTACATATACAATTACAAATACTATTACCTAACAAAATTTCATAGCCAAATATAAAATCAACTAATTAAAATTTAAAAACAACCAGTTCATAATGTAAGGGCCAGATCTAATAGTAATAGCTTACATTAATTTATAAATAGCAGATTCAAAAAAAGATATAATAAGTAAGGTACATTTTAAAAGTCTCTATTGTTTTGATAGTTTAAAAAAAATTAAAGTAGGGGCCATTCATAAAGTACATCTCAGCGGCGGGGGGGAGGGTTAAAAGATTTTGTGTGACGCCACATCTCTTTTTATCATCAATATAATACCCAAAATTGATGTTGACCATTGATGAGGATATAAAGAAAAGATGGAAGTGGATAGGGCATACTCTCCAAAAACCCCCAGATAGCACCACCAAAAAATGCCTAACATGGAACCCATGGGGAAAAAGAAAGAGAGGAAGGCCTAAGAATACATGGAGATGCAAGCTAGAGGCAGACACGCAAAATATGGGATACAGATGGAAGCAATTGGAAAGGAAAGCACAGGACCGTGATGAGTGGAAAGTTCTTGTAGACGGCCTATGCCCCAGAAAGACATGGGTAAAATGATTCAAAATAGTGTGACGTACTTTATGGACAGTCCCTTAAGAGATTACATTTTATATTATAAAATACTAGAAAATTACACCAGAAGTTCACTAAGGGTTGGGGGTAAGGGGGCTGTGGTTGATTGATGTTAAAAAATAATGCGTACAAGTACAAGTGTTTTACTATGAAGTGAAAACACAAAATTTTGTGTATATCAGTTTGAGATAATTAACCTTAGATACATGGTTTAAGAACTTAAATGTATATGTTCTCGTTGGCTTCGCAAAAATTAATGCATGTTCAAATGCAGAGATATCAAAACACAAACTAAAAAAAGGGATTACAAAACACACCATTGCCTTTATATATATTTCGGAGTCTTAGTCATTTTAGTTTTAGGTCACTTAAAAGCTGAATTTTTAAAAATATATACAAAATTATCAGTGCCCAAAGCCTAGAGTATACTATAAGAGGGCGGCACCATGGAAAATTTCAGTTTCATAGGGCTTGTTGATCTCCTAATCATTGAGTCAGTGGTATTTGGGTTTTATTAATAAAGATATAAATATTATAACTACAGATCATTTTAAAAATATCAACTTATGCTACATGTGTAGTCTATACCACTCAGTTATTGGGTATAAGATAAAATATGCTTCCAAAATTTTCATTCATAATTTTTAAAATTTGATTACTAAATACCCAATTATAACATCAACACGGGTAAAATAAACCATTTAGAGAAAAATTTCTCAAGAATCTAGGCTGAGCAGCTGCCCATCAGATTTGAAGCCCTGGGAGTGCCACCCTCAGAATTTACCCAGGACATTCCTGAAAGTTCAACACATAGCAGAATAAGCAAGTGAGACACAGGTTAGTGACCAGGATTACTGGTGTCAGAATGGATTAGAGGTGCAGAGTGAGTGAGCTACTGTCCATACTATGGCTTCAGAAGGAAATGAGTTTTGGTTCTTGTTTTTATCCATTTCGGCTTATTAATACGAATTTCAGCCACTCTCTACTTCTGGCTGAATGAAAGTCCAGTTAATTTTACTGACTGTGAAATATTTGAGGTTGAGTGCATGGGGCGCTCTTTCCATATACGCTGCTTGGGGGCCAGGCCGAACTACAGAGTAAAGTTCAGTCAGGCAGATAAGGGCTGGCGATGCCTGTTGCTTTTTTTTATTTTCCCATTGCCTACATTAGTAAACATATAGAACATGCATAATGAAAGCAATTTTACAATTACATGTCAACTTAAGGACTGTTAATTATCAAAATTATAAAAAGCTTCTTACTGAATGAGATTCATTCAGAGAAGCTTGCATTTTTTGTCACCTTGCATAAAAACATGAGAAATTAATGACCTGAGTGCTACAAAGTTTTGTACATAAGAATATCATCAAAAAGTAATAAATTAATAAATGTAATATCTACTTTAGTGAACTTTCCATTGTAATTTTTAAGATGAAAACTAATTAATTCAAAAGAATATTAAAAAAACAAATTCACACAGGATTTTGTAAGTTAGGATACTTTGGATTTTCTATAACTCCTTCTCCAAATTTATACTCAAGAAACTCCTTGACATTATTTGGAGCATATGTCATTACTCCAGCAAACTCTATCTTAGTCAATGGCAGCAAGAATCTCTCTGGAAATTCCACATCCTGTCTATGAGTGAGTAACCAAGTGTCTTTGGTCATGACTCCATGTTTGGAGTAAAAAGGATAAATATCCACGTGCAGGTGATTTACTGCTGAATATTGCACACGATAAAACTTCCCTTCAACAGCTTTTTCCCAAACAAAGCCTAAATCATCTGTGTAGGCTCCATTTTTTGTATCAACAAGGGCCCCACATTTACTTAAATCTTCTCTGTAAATCCCTATATCAACATCGTAGTCCCATGGGATTATATCCTTTTGGCGTACAGCACCCAGCAAACTGCCACCCTCGAGCCAGTAACGAACGTGACAATTTTCTAGTGTGGTAAACACATGTTTTGCTGTCTCCCTCAAGGCTTTCAGGCAACATGGTGGTGTCCACCTCCCTTCATACAGGTAATCTGGCATGTCATTCACAATTGTTCCAAAGCAACGTGGTTTATCTTTGTCACATCCGTAAAATCTGGTTATATTGTTATGGAGAATTTCTTGTTTAATACCCACACTCCTGTAAAATGCATCCAGTCGCTCGGCTTCGGCTCGTTTGTGTTTCCAATTATTGTGAGGATCCATGTACAGTTTAGCGACTGGGGCTAACTTTTCACCTTTTGCTACTCTTACTGATAAATTGGCAGCTCTGGCTTGGACATAGAATGTAAATGGAAATGGCCTGGCAAAAGGTTCTGGGAGAGACTTAAAGACTTTAGTTTCCATTAACAGGGCTTGGGCGCCTATCACAAGAGGACAAAATAATGATGCATCTGAAAGGTTGGCATTCAGTGAAAGTGTCCATCGCTTAAGATCAACATAAAGACCACTGCACTGAAGCCTGGTATCTCCAATGGGAATAGCAATGGCATCTGTTTTTTTCTTTGCTTTTAAGAAATGCATATAGTAAATTATTTGCTTCAAGTTTCTCAACTTCACAGCATCTGGTAAAATAAGCACATACTGTGTATTTATGAAATGCAGTGGACAAGCACTGCTATAGTTTTTGTTCAAGTTACTGGAAAGAGTAATAACTTTTACAGTGCCTTTGGGATTTAACTTAAGGGGTGGATAGGGGAGATGATCAGCTAAGATGAAAATTGGAACGTTTCCTAGAGCTCCCTGAATAGAATCTGTTGTGTTCACCAATGCATTTTCAAAATCTTCATATTCCCTGATAATAATGGCTAGCCTTTCCCCTATATTATTTGCTGTAATAGGTCCTTTAAATTTCTGAGCAGAAATGACATTTTCCAATAATTCATTTTCCTCTCTCTTGATGCCATCTCTACTTGTCAAATTTTGATAAATGGAAAAGTAGAAAAATATTATCAATAAGATAATTAAAATAAAAAAGTATCTGTTAGCCTTAGATCTCTTGCATAAACGCATTTCCTACACCTGCATCAAGTAATCAAGAGAGGTTACCTAAATAAACAGATACACCAAAGACCATTTAAGGTATGTGGATCAAAACTCGTCTAACTCAGTCTTTTTTCTGTAATGAAAATGAATTTAATTTTTAAGTTTAAGTAATTAAAATAGAATTCAAATTGTAGTTACTTTAAATAGCATTCTTTTCTTACGTACAGCTAACAAATAATTAGGTATTAAAATGTTAAGCAATTTCTTGATTTCACTTATTACTAACTAAGTTTAATTAGATATGTAGGCCTAATACTTAACTTACTTCACTACAACAGTTACTACAACTACAATGATAACTAACTGTAGACTAGATCTAACTACTAACACCTAATTACTTGAATCAGCAGGCATTTTCATTTAGTTTTAGCATAATTTAAAATAATTAGTAATTAGGTAGGGCGTAGTCGTAGATAAACTGGTAAATAGTAATATTTAGTAAACATTGAGTAGCCAATTTTACTTTAGCTTTTATCATTTATGGTTCCGATTTTATGAAGTGGGCCTATCCAGGTTATTTCATTTCATTCAGTGTATCACCGTAAACGAACTTTTAGGAATATTCAAGCAAATGTAACAATCCATATGAATAGCAAAATAGGAATAATCCTCTTAAATATAAGAGTTATCATCCGTGTTACCAAAAGATTCGGTAAAATCTTTATTAATAATTCCGATTTTTATCATCTATGATTGAGCGTTTATTTGACAATTTTTTATTTTTTTTCGGTCAAGTAAAAAAAAATATTTCAAGGGTGGACAGTTCCAACAAAAGTTTGCCAAGGTCATTGTTAAGATAATTTTTAATTAAACAACCACTAAAAATAAAAACAATTTTGTTCGTATAAATTAAATCCTTTATAAAATGTAATAGCAAGTAATTGGGGGGGGGGGGGGGGGGGGGGGGGGGGGGGGGGGGAGAAAAATTTTAAAAAATGGCACTTTATAAGAATCCAAATAATCCCCCCCCCCCCAAGGCTCGCAACGGTACATATATTGACGCCCCTGAACTATATTAAAAATTATGAAGTGGCTATTCTGACCCGGTCCGAGAAGTTAGAGGTTGGGATTAAAATGTTAAAAAATAATATTATTGTTAGGTTGTAAGACAAAATTTGGTATCAAAGGAAAGATAATTGAATGGACTATATGTTTGTAAACTTAATTCTTCAGTTTAACTAAAATAAATTGCCACAAATGCATCCGAATAGCATTAAGTCTAAAGGGACCCGGGTCCGAATGACGGCGATGCTTAGCTTAGGCCAAGTGTTTAGTCATTCATATTGCTGTTACGATTAGTATGCATGTGACAGAACTTAATTAATTTAAAAGGAAGATTAAAGTTAGTAGGCCACTAGCTGAAAAATTACCAAAATTGTGGGTAAAGTAACGACTAGCCAATAATGGCGTAGCTAGGATAGTGCAGCCATAATTTTTGCCGCCCCCACATCCACGAAAAAAATCTACGATTGCCTCAGCCTTAATATTAATATGAAGAAAAGATGTTATTGGGGGCTAAGCCCCCCCCCCCCCTTTTTTTTTTTTTTTTTGCACCCCTTTTCTTAACCCACTTCTAACAAAACAATACACATTCAAATTTATTCCAAAAGTACGGTCTGTTAGTCTGGGGGAGATTATCTATTGAGTAAGCCTACTGAATTAAGTGATCAACCAGATGAGTGTGCAGCGATGGGTGACACGAGTCTCAGGTCTGTCTTTCATGGCTCTTACATAGACCATTTTACATGGAGGCGACTCGAGTCTTAGGTCTGTCTTTCATGGCTCTTACATAGACCATTTTTCATGGAGGCGACTCGAGTCTTAGGTCTGTCTTTCATGGCTCTTACATAGACCATTTTTCATGGAGGCGACTCGAGTCTTAGGCAGTGTTTTGTTTCTTTCAGAAATTTTCCCCCGGAGGGGCACTTCAGATTTTCGGGGGTGGGCGGGCGCACTTCAGATTTTTCGGGGGGGG